ATATATATATATAATGTGATATTTTTTAAAAAATAATATTTTACAATGCTACAAAAAATTATAATCAATTAAAATTATTAATTAGAAAATTGAATAAAAATATATCAAATTATATTTAAATGATATTTTAATATAAATAATAAGATTTAAATCTTGCCCAAGCCCTTAACAACCTATATTTGTGTGACTAGGGTTGTCAAAACGACTCCATGTTCACGAACAACTTGTGTTTGGCTCGCTGAGTAAACATGTCAAATACGAACACATTTTTTTTATTCGAAATATAAACAAGTCAAACACGAATAGTGATATTTTTTTAACAAGCCGAACACGAGCGACGAGAATAACATGAGTTGAGCCTGGGCTTGCTCGTTTTCGGTTCATTTACAACCTTAATGAAAAGTGACAAGAGGCATTTCCTTGGTAGAGGGATCGATCACAAGATTTGACATGTTCTCCGTAATAACACTTGGAAGCAGACCGATTTAGATGAGATGTAAAGCAAATATGGAATGTCAAAGAGCCTCATCACGCCTTAATTTTAAGAATGAAGGGGTGAAAATTAATGGAGTCTAATTATTGAATAATTGATTAAGAATAAATGTTTACTCTTTTTTGTATTAAATTCTCTTATTACTATCGTAGTGACGATTTCAAGAAAAAAATTTATGAACATTGAAAATGTGTCAGCACTGATCCTAAGGAGATCTGACGTTTCAGAAATAAGAGAGTATGACAATGGAGGGCCCAGCGACAAAAAAGCGGGAGGCCCAATTATCCAATCAGATGCAACCGTCCGCGCCAGAGCTAGCAAGGTCAAAGCCAAATAAATCATGAAGTCAACCGAATCTTAGTCGTTCTGTCAGAAACGAGGTAAAGATATTCAAGCTAACAACTACAAGAATGTTGAACCAAATACAGCAAGCTACCTTCTGGTAGATCCAATATGTGGAAAGATGCAGTCTCATCATTATTACCAATATCCCACAGACGCACTCGAGGCTCCCAATCAGAGACCAGAATTAACAATATAGCAAAGAGTCTTATAGTCATCCCTCAGGTTTTCCTGATTGAATAACAAGCTACATATTTACAATGATGCACCCTCTGCTCGGTTGTCTAGCGTCGCTCAGCCGATAGAAGTTCCTCACAAGAGATTAAAGTTCAACAGCAAGAATAGATCAATTGATCAGTAATATTGACCAAGTCTAGTCGACCAAACCAATCATGCTAACCCAAAGCCAATCGAACTCAATCAAACGGCGACGATGACTAAGCTCGACCGATCGAACCAGCACTGTTGAGTTGAAGCCATACTAGCTCAACAAATTGAGCCAAAAGGCAACCAAGCGATAAGCTCAAATAAGTAAAATACCTAGAATATCCAATATAGGCCTCATTAAATCAGGGACAAAATTTTAACATCTACTCTCTCATTTATAAATAGGGATATCATTTTATAAATAAGACACGATGTATTACTCTTCATTATTGTTCACTCATCTCTCTCTCTATCACCTTATCTCTCTTCTTTCTTACGCTTTATTCATTGTGGTGTGATTCACTAACAAATCAGAATTCAACATCTTCACTTCTGCTCATCTTTCATTTGGTTTTAATGTAGGAGTACCACCTAAAAATATAAAAAAAAAACCAATAAAAAGATACAAAAGTATATTCTAATGATGCAATGCCTTCCAGTAATCAAATTTAACATTTAGTAAAATCAACATGATATATTTTTGCACCTGCTCCGTTCAATTGCTTTCATTCAAAACCCTTTTTAAATAATTTTACTATTTCACTTTTTTTCGTTCAAAAACATCTACAAGTTTGCAATATTGGACCAAAACCTACTTTTTTTTTTTCCTGACAAGGTTAATTGACCTGGCAAATATCATCGCATCATCTATCTCCATTACGAAGTCAAATATATACTTCAAGAAAACAAATAAAGCGCGAGGTAAGCATTGGACAAAGAACGAAGGAGCCCAAATGACCATTTTTTTACCTCGCCGGTATGGCCAAAGCAGCTATGGAGGTAGTTCTCATCCATCCAATAATGGAGATCTCCGACCCAAATAGACTTGTTCTCCTCGCCGGAAGAGGGACCCCACCCACCCAAAACCGTCTGCAAAGGCGCTGGTTGGTGGTACTGCGGCGGCGGCGGCGGCGGCGGCGGCGGCGGCGGCGGGTAGGCGAGATAGTGCGGTGCGAACTGTGCTGGCGACGGAGGTACAATCCCCATCATCTGATGCTGCATGGCCATCGCCGCCCCCGCCCGGGGCGGCAGCCGCTGGGTATTGTATCGGCATCCACGGCTGCTGCAAGGGTTTGTTCTTCTGAAGCTCTCCACCGTTAGCCGGCGGCTGCATCTTCTCTGTAAGTTCGTTGCGAGATAAGACCAGAGATTAATGAGAGAGAGAGAGAGAGAGAGAGAGAGAGAGGCGATGAGGGCCGGGTCTTGATGCGGAAATAGCAAACCAGAAAAAGAGAAGCCCGTGGATTTGGGAACCTTATGCCAGGACGGCTTCGAAACGAGTTTGATAATAACTACTTGGATATGAATGGATGAGGCGATATCAGCCGTTGGATCGTGGGAACCGCGCTTAGGCACGCGGTTGACCAAATCCGCGTTGGTGTCGGTTGCAGGTCGATTATGACTGGTTAGCCGCTCAGGTAGCTAGGCTACGCGTCTGCATATAATTGGAAGGATTTATCACACATGCCACTCAATTTTTATTTATTTACATATCGAACCCCCAAAAAATTTACTTTTTACAGTATTTACATCAAGAACAAGAAGACAAATGAATAAAAGAATCTTTAATAAATCAATAGGGCTCAGGTAATCAAAGCATAAGAATTAGCATAGGGACTCCATCCAAAATGAAGCATGATAGGGCATAACAAAAAGGACTCGATGAAAATAAAGACCAAAAGAAGCCTTCTTACAAAACTGTTTAGCCTCGATGCTTGGACTGAATATCTTCGTATAGCTAAAAAACAAAATCTGAATATGGCAACAGATCAATTCAAATTCTACTAATTTGGTGAGGTCATCAAATGAAGTATTTGTAAAGTAGCAAGAGTAAATGGCATAATGAAGTATTTAGCCCAAAAAAACTATTTTATAAGCCCTCCAATTAAAGAAAGACAATTGCGTAAAAAAAATTTTAGTATAACGAGCGAAATAGAAGACAAAATCAGTCAGAAAAACAAAGAGCTAACACAAACTCAAAAATTTCAAATATAATAATCTAAGAAAACGACGATAAACTACTCAGAGCTTATAAAAAATGTTAGTCTTGATAAATTCTAATACGAATTTTTATTTTCTACTTTTTAACTTGACAATCCAAACTATTTTCTTAATAAGAATCTTACTGTGATTGGATAAATTTTTGAAAATCTTACAACTTTTCTTATACTGAATGTAATAAGCTTGGGCTTGAACAACCAAAAAGGAAACTTTTATTATAATTTTTACCAGTGACATTCTCATAATGATCTCATAATGATAAAGGACCTAAAACATGTTACTAACAACAATAAAAAAAATTACTATTAGGAATGCAATATCTTAATAATTAAAGTATGGGAGAGAGAAAGATCATTCAAAAAATAGATGATTATGTGATTCTAAACCATCGGTGCAAAGAAATACAGTTGCAGCTAACATTGAGATCCCAAACCACCATGAATGACTTTTCAAGTATGCAAAGCCAACTTGATAGTGTAACATTTATATCAAATCAGCCTATTTCAGTCTCTAATATGTAAATTCTCATGGAAAAAAAAAGTAAACAAACTTAGAGATAATTAATAGTACTATCAACAATATGAATATTGTTGATTAATTGTAAGCAATCATTAGGAACTATCGAATGATGAGGAAAATACTAATTACTATTAGATAAAACATCACTCAGCATAGCATGTTTAACAATTGAAACCAATAAAAAGCTAAATTCACATACTTCTCATGTAAAGAATAACCATTCAGCCAATGATCGTAATAAAAAAAGGAGATTACTCTTGGAATTCTTCTAAGAAGATAAACTTCATCTAATTTTGACAGCTATTTTTTGTAAAATATCTCCAAAAAGTAAAGTATTAGAACAAAATTGAAGTCATAATGAGCAATAAACCAATCAGATAAATAAGAATTAGACTTATAATGCTCTAAAGTAATTTTTAATTTGCAAATGAGGTTAATATTATCTAAGGAAGAAACGTCAAGATAGTCATTGGATTTAGGCAATGTAATAATATTTCAAGCAATCATACTTACTTTCTTTTCAATATCATTATGAAAAAGAAATTACTAAGCATAGAAGAAATTTTCTTCCTAAGACCTTTGGGCTAGGTGATTGATTGAAACTAATAATAAGGATAACTCCAAATAATAGTTTTGATTAATTAAAATATGCTTGCAGAGAATAGAATTTTGTATTTCCAACTAGATAGTAAGTATGAAGCTTATCAATAATTTTTTTTTACAATAAAAAACATTCAATTAAGTATGTTTAATAGTGACAACTGGATATTCTAAGACAGTGATTTGGTATTAAGACCACCAATATCACATAAAATATTACTACATATAAGGCTCAATAGACTCAGAGAAACAAAAGATAGACATGAAGGCATTAACACAAAGGTTAGAAGTAAGGCTAAAATTTTTAAGAGTGTTATACATATGATGCACATATAATTTAAATAATAATAAAGTGAGAAAAGTTGTCATTATCATGATATATAGTATTTTGATCTCAATAATCTAAGAGAGAAGAAAAATAACCAATATAATAACAAAGAAAATAACCATTAATCTCGCTTTTAATAATTACAAAGAAGTCACTATAACTTTTGTAAGTTTTAATCCAAATGATAATAGAAGTATGAAAATGCATACATTCCATTCCATTATAAAGAAAAAAAAAATTGTTCACTTTATTAAAAGCATTCACCAAGTCAATTTTAGAAAAATAATTTTTATTTTATAAGATTGTTGGAATTAAAATCATATAAAAACCTATTAACTAAAATAATATTATCAATAATATCACGAACCTTAATGAAGGCAACTTAAGTAAAATGGATAATGTTAGAAGAAGAAATTTAACTTATTAATGAGTAATTTAGCAAACTTTATAAATTTATTACAAAGAGAAGTGGGCTTGAAATCGCTAAGGGCATGGGCACCATAATTCTTATAAATAAGAGTGATATCAAAATATTAATTGTGAGAGGAAGCTTGACCAAGACAAAAATAATTAATATCATTAATACAAGCAGGCCAAACAATATGCAAAGTATCTTTAGATAATGTAGAAGTAAAACTTTTAAGAACATGAGCTTTATTGCTTTCAATAGAACGAAAGCATGTTTTCATCATTAATAAACTCATGAAGTAAAGCATCACAATCCTAACTAGAGAGATTATGAACGAAAAAATATCAGCAAAACTATTGAAGTCACTAGCTTGACTATTAAGAAAAGTATTAAAAAAAGGAAATAACTTACTTATAATATTTTTATAATGATGAATATAGCTAATATGATCAAATAGCTATTTAATAAGGGTAGTATTATTCTTAATATTGATCATTTAATAAGAAAATATAATATTATCTTCATCCTTAGTGAGCAAAGAGCACTGAACCCTTTGATTCACCCATATTTATATTCACAAGAAATAACATTATGTAACTCCCTTTGATTATGACAAGCTTAGGTAAACAAATCCTTGCAAAGGGGATAAATATCAAGTTGATTCATAATATACTCTTGCTTCCTTTTGAGATCATAAGTAAATTTATAAAGAGAGTCAACACACAACCTTGGAGAGCAAAGAGGGGGTAACTATGACAAAATGATTCCAAGCAGAGTTAATGAGATTGAAAAAAATAAGAACAATGACTCCAATAATTCTTGTATATATAAATGTGAGATTGATTAGAAGTAGAAGAACCCATCTAAATTGTGTTACTCAAAGCTTTGTTCAAAAGATATCTAACATTATTATTTAACTGATTGTTATACCAACTATAGACATAACAAATATTCTAAAATTCTAAAAGACTAAATAAAATAAAATTATTAAAATCAATACGTTTACTAGGAATGGGAGGTAAGTCATCAATCTTAATTTTATGAATATAATTCATATACACCAAAAGATGCAAAAGACAATTGTTATTACCAGCCAGATAGATAATAGAATCCCACAGCTACTTTTTTTTATGAGAGCACTATCATCAGCATAATTATAAGTATAAAATAATAATAAAAGAAAATTAAGAAATATGCTTATGAATATATTGAGCCTTAGTATCAAGAATAACGAAAGATAATACGGTAAATACAATCATTAGCAGCATAATTAAAGTTATTCACACTAGTCTCATTAGAAAAAAAAATTGAGGTGGTTAATGGAAATATTGTCAGAAATAGACAAGAGGGGATGATTGGTTTCTAAAAGAAAAATAAAATAAAATTTATTACCTTTTAAAAGCTTTCTACATTCACCAATGTCAGCCTCATATTCTTGAACCCACAAGCATTCCAAACAAAAATTTTAAGGTGTAACATAGAAAGATAAAATTAGTGTCAAGGATTTTCCTCTTTCGGTCTGTCTTTCTTGGCGATAAAAGAAGAGGAAAGCGATGAGGAAGAGGCGAGATTAGAAGTATTGGTAGTTAAATTTCTTAGATAACTGAAAGATTTTGAAGGTTATTGGAACAATTTTGCTCGAGATTAACTCTCGTATCTTCATGAGATGAAGGGAAAATCTCATTCAAAGTTGTGGAACCAAAAATAGTGGAAACATTAGGCAAGATAAGACATACTTTGCATCTAACTCACGAGAAGATTTTGCACTACAAGTGAAACTATAAGTTGGAATGATAAGATTGGGAGTAGGCACAAAATTAGAATTTAGAGAATAAGAGGGAAGAGAAACATGAGAAAGTTTATTCTTATTTATTTGTGGTTTTTGAGTAGATTTGTTTATGCACCAACTCCTACCATAAAAAATAAGAAAAATGGCAGCCAACTGATAATTAGGAGCATTAAGACAAGTGGTTGGGTCATGGGCAAAGGTGGAACAAGTTTTACATAGCTTGGGTTTCCACTCAATGATCATAGTCAGCGTAATAACTTGATTTTTCATA